CTAAGAAAATGACATGAAGGCTATGTTAACCAGTTTGATGAAAATATTTCAAATTGTATATGAAAACACCACACTGTACCCCATGATTGCATTACGGTACACAGCTATGATTTATTAAAAAAAAAAACTGATTTCTGGACCCTTCCTCTAGAACAGTGGTTCTCAGCCTGTGGGTCATGACCCCTTTGTAACAATGAAAATACACTGGGGCATTAGAAAGGTTGAGAACCACTGCTCTAGAGCTTATTTCAACAGATCTAGGGCAGAGCTGAGGAATTTGGATCTCAATAAGCTCCCAGGTGATACTGATGCTGCTGGTTCAAGGGCCACACTTTGAGAGGCACAGCTTTACAAGATGTGTTCACTATCCATTAAATGCTCCATTTCCTTCTTCTTCTTTATTTTTTTAGACAGAGTCTCTGTCACTTGGCTAGAGTACAGCAGTGGCTTGATCATGCATGGCTCGTGCAACCTCAAACTCCCTGTCTCACACTGATCTTCCTGCCTCACTGCCCCACCCCAGTAGCTGAGACTACAGGTATATGCCACCATGCCCAGCCAATTTTTCTACTTGCTATTGCAGTCTTGCTATAGACAGTCTTGCTATTGCTCAGTCTAGTCTTGAACTCCTGACCTTAGCCTCCCAGAGTGCTAGGATTACAGCTGTGAGACACTGCACCGGGCCTCCCATTTCCTTCTAATAGTGATCAGACACATATAACAACAATGTAATAACGAATATGAAGAATTATAAACAATTTTCCAAGCTACTCTCAAGAAGCTTCTATTCTCCATTCTCCTACCAAAAGAGAAAATTGCTATAAAGATAAGAATATATGGAAAAATAGGGTGAGTGGGGAGGAAGGGAGGGGTAAAAATTTATCAGGTGCAATGAACAAACAAATAGCCCTGACTTAAGCACTATAAAAGCTATCCATATAACAAAAACATTTTTACCTCCTTAATACAGTAGCACCTCTATAAGTTGATTGCCCTAAGGGACTATAACAAACTGGTCAACATATGGAGGTGGGTCAAGATAAGGAACTAGGCCTACTGTACTGGTACTTACATGTGGTGCATGTCCAGTATATAAAAATTAGGTTAACTTAAGGAGGTGGTCAATGTAAGGAGGAGGGGTAAACTATGCAGGTTCCAACTCTATTTTGAAATTTTTCAAAACATGAACATGGATTAATCTTTTAACCAAGCTAACTACCAGCTATTTGTAACCAAATCTAAAGGGAATTTGAACACTGGTTAGATATTTGATGATATTAAGAATTATTAATTCTTTAGGTATCATCTTTACAGTTGAAATGGCATCTAGGTTTTTCTTAAAAATAATCTATGAGGAAGGTTAAGGATGTTATAGACAAAAAAGGGTTAGTGATGACTTAATGTTGAGGTTGGATGATAAGTGCATTAAGGGTAACCCTGAACTATTTTCTCTACATTTGATTACATTTCTACTTTTCTATGACATAAATGTTTTTGTTGTTGTTTTTGTTTTTCTTTGAAACAATCTCACTATGTTGCCCTCTACAGCTCACTGCAACCTCAAACTCTTGGGCTTAAGAGATTCTCTTGCCTTAGCCTCCTAAGTAGCTAGGACTATAGGCACCTACCACAATGCCTGGCTTTTTTTTTTTTTTTTGCTGTAGTTGTCATTGTTGTTTAGAAGGCCCAGGCCAGGTTCAAACCTGCCAGTCGCTGTGTATGTGGCCGGCGCCCTAACCGCTGAGCACCAAGCCATATGACATAAAGTTTTAAAACCCCACAAAAATAATATGACTGATAACAGAATATAGGAGAAGCCAAAGATTTCTTTCTTTTTCTTTTTGAGACAGAGTCTCACTCAGTCACCCTATAGCTCACAGCAACCTCAATTTCTTGGGTTCAAGGGATCCTCTTGCCTCAGTCTCCCAAGTAGCTGGGACTACAGATCCCCGCGACACTCAGCTGGTTTTTCTATTTTTAGTAGAGACAATGTCTCACTTTCCTCAAGTTAGTCTTTTTTTTTTTTTTTTTTTTGAGACGGAGCCTCAAGCTATCCCCCTGGGTAGAGTGCCATGGC